AGGGAACTGTGACTGGAGCCGATGCCGCAGAGGAGAAAGTTGTGTGGAATCAGACGCATGCGTTGGATACCGCATCTATGGGGCTCCATAACTCATTTACTGAGTTGTCTGGCGGCGGGGGCTCGGGTGTTGTGCTGAAGGACGGCACGCTTGTGTTCCCCATGCAGGCCATCAAAACGGATGGAAAGAGCGTCTTGCTGGTCATGCGCTACACGCCCTCAAAGAGGAAGTGGGAGCTTTCGTCCCGTACGACCGGTGCGGGCTGCAGGAACCCGTCGATCGTGGAGTGGGGCGGAGACGAAAAGAAACTCCTCATGCTCGCCTCCTGCGAGGACGGCTACTACAAGGTGTACGAGTCCACCGCGGCCGGGAAAATCTGGTCTCAAGTGGGTGAGCCGATTTCCCGCGTGTGGGGCGCCTCGCCGAAGCGCCAGGGAGGGGACGGCGCCCAGAGCGGCTTCATCACCGCAAGCATCGAGGGAAAAGAGGTGCTGCTCCTCACCACGCCGGTGTACTCAGGGGACGCAGGCAAAGAAAAAGGCCGTCTGCACCTTCGGGTGGCCGACAATGCCCGCGTGCATGACGTTGGGCCGGCGTCTCGTGAAGCAGATGACGCCGCAGCCAGTTCCCTGTTGTACAAAAGCGGTGCGTCGGAGGAGTTGATTGCACTGTACGAGAAGAAGAATGGCGATGATGACTCTTACGGCCTCGTATCTCTGAGCCTGGCCACGCAGCTGGAGCAGATCAAAGAAGTGGTGAAGACCTGGAAGGACATGGACGCCGCCTTGCAAAGCTGCGCTCCCAGTGGCGGCGTCGACCCGCGGACGAGGGGCATGTGCAACGGCCCCATTCCCACGAAAGGGCTGGTTGGCTTTTTGTCCGGTAAATCGGCTGGGCGCGCGTGGGTGGACGAGTACCGCGGCGCGAACGCCACGGTGACGCAGGGGGAGGGAAGGGTCCCCAACGGCGTGACGTTCAGCGGCGCCGGAGCGGGGGCGGAGTGGCCTGTGGGGAAGCAGGGGGAGCACCAGCTGTACGGCTTCGCCAGAAACAAGTTCACGCTCGCGGCGACGGTGGCCATCCACGCGGTGCCGGGGGCGGACGGCCGCCCCATCCCGTTGATGGGCGCGAGGATGAGTGACGCAAACGGCACTGTGCTCTTTGGCCTGTCGTACACGAGCGACAAGAAGTGGGCGCTGACGGTGAACGGCAAGGGCCCGGAGGTGGCAGGCGGTGCGTGGGAGAAGGACAAGACGTACCAGGTGGCGCTGCGAATGCGTGACCTCGGCAATTGGCGTGTGGACGTCGACGGGGAAACGATTTTCGAAAGGAGCTCTGACGGCCCTCTGTTGAAGAGGGGCACGATGTCGCACTTCTACGTTGGCGGGGACGGCGCGAAGGCTGCAGGGGACGGCCACCGCGTGACGGTGAGCAACGTCCTGCTGTACAACCGCCCGCTGGAGGAGGGCGATGTCAGGGGCAC